CAACTCTGGTCTCTCTTTCTCTCTCATCTGCTGTGATGTCGATGGCAATGTCGTCCAGAAAGGTTAGTCCTCTTAACTTATTGGTTCAAGACAATATTTAAAATATAGACCAATTTGGGTTCAGGTCAAATTACAGCCTTTGCTCCAGGATCATCTATAAAATTAACATTGATGTCATCAGCAATGAATGATATAATCCAAGTCTAGTCTTACACCAAATACAAACAGCTCTAGAATATTTTGCAGCACTTAAGTTTACGTCCTACACTCATTCCAATGAATATATTTCTTTAATACTTTCTTTCTTATTACTTGGCGACCATACAAAGTAGGTATTTTAAGCCAAGTACGAATGGAAATGAGTGTAGGATCAGGATGAGTGGCGCGATCTTGTAGTCTTGTTAGTGACTAAGGCCGACATTCCTTAGACACAGCTGTTAGGGTGACCCGGGGCAATTCTGGCACGGGGCAATTATAGCAATGGCCTATATTTTTTTAAATTTCAGCTTTACAGATCAGTGAAGCAATATTTGTTATTTCAGCATATACCTCCTATATATAGGAAAGCATTTTTGTAAAAATAAAATGTTTGCAGTAATTTTTATTAGCGATTAAAAAAGTACTTTCTTCCACAGCCCGAGGATATCGAAACATCGCACACGGCTAATTTTTTTTCCCCTATGAATTTTATATTTTATTTTTTTTTATACTCAAAGATAATTGTTCAGACTTAAAACTTCATGAACAAAAATAGTAATAGCAGTTATCCCTTTAAGATATTTAAATTTAAATGGGTGCTATAATTGCCCCATTTTCATATGCTATGGGGCAATTGTGGCAAAGAACCCGGGGCAATTATGGCAGCTATATATCTTTATACAAATAATGTATAAATTAAAGAATAAATTGTATAACAACGTGTGTTATGTGTAATATGTTTCATTTCAGTTCATTTGGATGGCTTTGTAAACACCTTTTGCTTAGATTACTCTATGGCAGCCTGATTATTTTTATTGTTTATTGTTGCTAGAAGTTTTGAGGTTAAGGCCCTTGTACGCTTGTACTGTCTTACCGGTTTATTCACAACTTCCTTATAAATAGAGATAGAACAAAAATTAAAACACCATCTTAAACAGCTAAATTAGGCCTATGCCATGATTACCCCAATGTCAGAGCAATTTAAACAATAAGGAAAATATAAGGTATTGCTATAATTGCCCCAAGGTTGGGGCAATTCTGGCATCTGACACTCCAAAAAAAAAAACCTCAAACCCCCTTAAGGGGAGTTTGAGATTGTTGTCTAAATATATGAAAACACTAGAGGAATAACATAGAATTACTATGGTAATTGTCAAAATAAAATGAAAAATATGTTCACCGCGGTACAAGCAGTTAAAGTTAAGGTTCACGTCTGGCTGCCAGAATTGCCCCGGGTCACCCTAATTAATAGCCCATACAGCTAATGGCAACTAAGGGACCTACAGTTTATAGTGGAATCCGAACCACATTATTGCCTTGGTCTATAGCCTATACGAATTGGTCTAATTATCAGGATAGTACTGCGGATAGTCGTAGTACTCACTCAAGCGGACGTTAATCCACACCAAGGAGTATCACATCCACAGTGCATGCCTATAAATATCCACAATTCGTGACCTCCTACGGTAGTAGCTGGATTACAGGACGACGCCACCCGTCCCAGTCATATTGATTATTTCATTCGATAAACTTAGGCCTATATCAATTTTGGGTAATGTTAGGGTGAAACCTAACCTAACTAACGGAATGAAATATTCAAAATATTAAATAGTCTAACTTATGTATTCATATCGGGTACAGTTTCTTAACTGGTCTATGCTAATATTGATTGAAACTATCGAATTGAAAATATTGATTAGTAATCGATATTTTTAAATACATCTATTGCAAAATAAAACTATCATAACCTAACCTAACCAACCAAACTTGCTGATGGTGAAAAAATCGCATGAAGGTTTACAAATCGAAACGATAGTTGCAATCGATATTAGCATAGCCCAGTTAAGAAACTGTACCCTTAATATCTTTCATTTGAATGAATAAAGGACATAAACTAAAGTGCAGCCGCATATTTTTAAATAACAAATTCTTAAAGTTGACACTGGGTCAATGGGAATAAGAGACAATCCTAATAGCCTAGGGATATGCCTATTCAAACATTTGCTACAATATTGCTTGATGATTCAGAATTAGCCTACGAATAAGCTGTATCTTAAGTTCTTGTTGGTGTCTTACTTTACCTTCTTGTTGGTGACTTACCTAAAGTGTCTGTTATCATGTTGATTAGCCTACATAACCTACCTATACAAATTATTTCACATTGTTTCCCTTAAAAACTATTGTTTGTAACACACGAGTCACCAATTTTCCTGTAAGCAAGGAAAGAAATAAAAAAGATAAATATTTACAATATAAAAGTAATAACTTAATGCTTAGTCAAAATGGCCAGCTTATCATTATTCATTGTCCGTCGGAATTCGGAATTAAATATTGCGATGCGACTCGTAAGTTGAGGAACTGAACGATGAATTAGAACAACTCCTTTTCAAGAGTAGCTCCGAAGAACGGGAGCTTGTCGATATACTGGGACTATTTCAGTGTCGACATAGTGAAACTATTTCATTGTCGACAATATGGGATGTCGACAATTTGTGGTGTCGATCATTTGCGACGTCGGTTATTTGGGATGTCGGTTAAGTGGGAATATTCCAGTGTCGACAAACTGGGAATAATTCAGTTTCGATCAATTTCTACGGTTGTCGATATTATGGAACCCACCCTAGTATACGAGCCTGTAGTGCAAGTGAACCTTCAATATTATTTACGGAGCTCGTATAGACTATGATTTGTAGAGTAAGTGAGCCATGTGTTTTAAGAATTACATATTTGGAGGCTCATTGTGTCAATGATTCGTAGAGTAAGTGAACCCTAACCAAAATAATCAGTCAATATCAGTATCCTTTATTCTAGATTAAATTAGTTGTCCAATGTCCACCTAAATTCGATTAAAAATGGCGGCTTTTCCCAACATTGGACAAATTTGAAAAAAGATACCACATGCATTTTTTATTCAAAATTTTTTGAGATATTGACTTGGGACGACCACCGATGTTTATTGGGTGGTCAGTTAGTACTTCATTTACATAGGGAACTCATTTTTGGCCGCCATCTTGGATCCACCATATCTATATGTATAAAAGAGGATGTTTGTATATATACATTTGTTTGGCAGTGATAAACTCAGACACCGCTGAACCGATTGCCACGAAACTTGGTACATACGTGTAGAATTTCATGGAATAGGTTTATACACCATCAATTTCGTGATCCGTCCAATCGGCTCCGCCCCAGTGGCTCTGGAGTTTCCCAAGTTAACCTTATCTTATGAGAAATGGAATTAATGAATCTTAACAGCTGTTTCAATTAAACAAGTTGGTTCTGTTCTATGATGTTCAATAGCATTGAAGTTACAAGGATTACCAACAGGGTGCAGCACTATTATTTCTTTTACATTTATGACAACAGCTAATTTGCAACCAAAAGGTTTTCTTTTACATTTATAACAACGCAGCTAATTTGCCCCAACCAAAAGGTGAGTTAGCGTAGCGAACGAGCTAACCTGAAGGCAAGTGAGCGTAGCGAACGAGCTAACCTGAATGCAAGTGAGCGCAGCGAACGAGCTCCAACCTAAAGGTGAGTGACCGTAGCGAACGAGCTCCAAGCTAAAGGTGAGTGAGCGTAGCGAACGAACTTCAACCAGGACGTGATTGAGCCATGCGAACGAGATCATCTTGAAAATTAAGAAGTTAAACGGGGCAAAGCCCGCGGGTTACAGCTAGTTGGATATAAATTTAAAAAAATAAAAGTAATGATGACGTTGTGACACATCTTTATAAACTAAATTTTGACGCTGATTTCAATGCCGAAATCTGTTTTGAAATATCTGTTTACGTTTTGAAGATATATTCAAACGAAAACTCTTCCATGTAATTCCAACTGCCAAAGACAAACAAATAACGCCCGCCCTTGGTCATCCAATCAGACAAATAATATCTTCGTTTTTCATGAGCCCTGTCACAAATGAGGAAATGAGCCTTACCTGCTCAATATGTTGATGAAATCTGAGATTTTCATCAAGGAGGACTCCAAGGAACTTCACATTTGGGGAGGGACAGATTATGGTTTCGTCTAACAGGACATTTAGAAGACTGTGATTTTTCTGGGATCGTCTTTTACGCCATTCCTGTATGGGGTTGTGAAACCCAAGAACACTGTTTTTGTTCAGACTCCAGAGGAAGGCGATCCGTATTGTGTTCTCCCTTCCAAAACGTCACTCCTGCAAAGAAATATTCAGATCATTCAGAATCCTTACCTTTCCATCCATCTATATTCTGGAAACGTTGTCATTCGCTAAGAAAAACATATCATCTTTCACCACTCCAGTCAACCACAGATATTCTTTCCGGAACACTTCAAACCTTGTCATTCCCCGTCATTCAACTGCATTTTTCCAGAGGCACTTTCACTACAATGCTGTGAAACTCTTCAATAACCTCCCTTTCCCATTACAGGCTGAACAGGATGTGGGTAAATTTAGAAGGGAGTTAAAGTCCATCCTGTTAGATAAGGCAGTATACAGCGTCCGTGAAAACTGGTAGACTTTTACTTGTTGGCACTTGTTTAATTAACTTGAGTTAACTTAATTGAGTGGTTGCTTGTAAGTACTTTAGTTGTTTTCACTGTAAGATAATCAATATGTTTTATCAATTAAGATTAATTTGACTTGGTTAATGCATGTATATGTTGACCTGGCCTAATAAATGACTTATTGACTTATCTTCCCCATACATTTTTTATGGAAGTTTCGTACTTTGAAGGTTTTTAAAAACCATTTTTCTTATATCTCCAGTTCTTATCAACGCTTGCAGTTCAGTCTAGCCTGAATATTCTGTGATGCAAGCGCTTTCATTTGACCTATTGATCATTCAAATCGAACGTTAGCAAGAGCTACACTACAATCCCCAAAACAATATTAAATTTAACTTTTAAGGAAATATTTTTTTATTAAAAGATTTATATCTCGAGTTGTTAATACGTCACCAAGTTCTTTTTTATTTTGAATTACTTAGTAAATGTTTGGCTTTAATTTTATTAATCACTACATATATAAAATCTGACTAATCTAAAGGGAGTCGTGGACCTTCATTTTAACATTAAATTATTTTTATTTAGAAATTTGGTTCAAGACACATACCCAATTATAAATAACAATCAATAAGTAATCTTTAGCTAAAATAAAAGTACTTTGACAAATTATTATAGACCATAAAGAGTTTTTGGAGTTATTTATAATTTGGGATATAAGTATTTAACTAAAGAGAAATTTCAAAATAAAAATAATTTTATGTAAAATGAAGGCACTCTGCTCATTTTTAATTTGTCTGATTTTATTAAATGATAAATAAAATTAAAGCAAAACAATGAATGAGTAACTTGAGGCCATAAAGAACTTGGTGACGTATTAACAAGGCAAGATATAAATCTTTTAATAAAAAAATATTTTTAAAAAGTTAAAATTTAATATTGTTTTGGGGATCGTATCTCGTTGCTAACACGTTCGATTTGAATTATCAATATAGGTCAAATGAAAGTCCTTACATCACAGAATATTTAAAGGCTAGACTGAACTGCAAGCCCAAGCGTTGATAAGAACTGGAGATATAAGAAAAACTAGTGTACATGTTGCTCGAAATCGAGCAATTGCAAAGAAGTACAGGAGTTATTTATAAACAAATGACTTGTTTAAAAACTAATAACAGTCATAATTTCCGATGATTTTAAAAGAGTCGACTAAAAGATTATTAACTGATGGAAATACTCACAATTTACATACCAGTCCTATTCCAGTTTAAAGGGTTCTTTTTAACTATCAAACTGCTCATGGACGGGAAAAGGTAAGCTTACAATTTAAGTCAACATAAAAAAGCTGTCAGCTTTTATAATGTACCGTACCTAAGTTATTTAGCCAATTTGTAGACAATATGGTGTAGCCTACTTTAAACTCTATACAGAACAGAGTTAGGCAAAAACTGGCAGAGCTCTAAAATTGTGTTATTTATCATAGGCATACTCATATGCCAAATTCTTAAAAAAAAATCAATAATTAATAACTTATATCATAAACACAAACCAACATCCATAACTAAACACATTTTTTATACAACATAGATAATTATTTACACATTTACTGTTTACAATTAACATATGTTCTTATTCTCACTTTTAATTTTTGCTTCGCAACGGGAAAAATCGGTTTCATAATCATTGAAATAGATTCATAATAAATAATCTATCATCAAGTTTAAGATTAAATAAACCTACCACATAGTTGTTTTATTTTTATGGATCAGCTGTCTGAAATTGTGAAATAGGCATTTGGTACAGTTCTGGTTTGTTTACTTTAAATGTCAAAGCAAATGTAAATATTGTGAATTTTCTCATGCTTCCATGGAGACCAATTACTAATATTTAATTTCTGACAACAGCTGGAGTTTCATAACAATGTTTGTTTCCCATGTTAATCTTATGGAGAAATACGAAACTTTAAAGGGCCCCAGGGCCTCACTCTCTAATTATTTATCTAAAAAGAAAGTTTCTTGCACAACTTCACGTTACGCTCTTTTCAATGACACCAAAAACGCGTCAATCGGTTCAGTAGTTTCAGAGGAGTAATTGTCACAAAAATCCTGCTTGCGTATTAAATAAGTACGAGAGGTCGTCCAGTGGTCGAAACTCGACCAAAAATATGTAATGTAATAACTTATCTATTTTCACCCCACACTGTAAATAAAACATGTGATTGGAGTTTCTTCCATTTGTTTTGATTTTCTGTTTATATTTCGTTGTTATTTCGTAACCAGCATAGCAACGCATAAGATCCATGTTAATTTTTTCAAATTTTTAAACTCATTTTTTGTGCTTATCTTTGAGCCTATTTAAATTTATAAAGGGGTTCTGCACACCTACAGGAAAATAGCTTTCCAACGGTATGCGTAGATTTTCCCTACGATGCACACGAGCTGAGAAAAAAGGTTTTAAAGAAACATGCTTGCCTATTAATATATAGATAGATAGATGATCTTTAAAAATCTTCAATGTACGAAACCTTCATAAGAAATGTATGGGGAGAGTTTTCGTTTGAATATATCTTTAAAACGTTATCAGATTTCGGCATTGAAATCAGCGTGAAAATCTAGTTTACAATGATGTGTCACAACTTATAATTACATTTAATTTTTTTTATTTGTATCCAATATGGCGGCCAAAAATGAGTTCCCTATGTAAATGAAGTACTAACCACCCAATAACCTTCAGTGGTCGTCTCAAGTCAATATCGCACAAAATTTTGAATAAAATATATATGCATGTGGTATATTTTTTTTTAATTTGTCCAATGTTGGGAAAAGCCACCATTTTTAATCGTGATTTTAGGAGGTTTCCTGTTGACCGATTTTTGGCAACTTTTAGTATGTCACTCTGCAGACCCAGCACTACGAAATAAAACCATTAATCGTTTTCTTGCAATTTTTTTTAACGTTCCCTGTGTCAGTTTTTTTAGTTTGCTTGGAATAATAGAGATTTGGCAAAATAAAAAAGATTTGACGTTTTATTGTAAAAATAAATTAAATATTTTTGTATCCATAAGTCTTAGAACCAAATTGTTATACTCTTATATTATAGGAAATTTAATTATCTACAACATTGACATTACATATCTTTCGCTAAAACGCACCAAAACGGAGATATATGCGAAAATCTCTAAAAAGTAGATTTTTTCGATTTTTCAATATGGCGGCGGGCGCGGAGGGGGGAGAATTGTGCATTTTTAATTTTAAACACCTACTTACTATCCTAAACAACATATAAACAATTTAGACTTACCGGACCGTTTGTAAGTTAACATACCACAATGTGTATTCACTGGACTATATTGGATATCAATTTAAATCTCTTATCATCTAGATGTGCCTTTTGCAGGTTTGGATGATATCTCTTGAAAGCCCTTTGTCCTACAGGCTTTTAAAATTTCAGAGTATGTGCTGAATTCTGTTGTCAATCATCTGAACTGTTTCCAGTTTACACATTTGTTTACATCAAAACAGCGATGGCCATAATACAAGTTTATTTATATCCACACGGAAATTGGGTTATCATCTGTTGTAGTTCCTGATTTTTTAGTGAACTCAAGTAAAATATTGTAATTCTATTTGTATAAAATGTAAAGAAGAAAATGGTTACGTTGGATTTTGTGTTTTCATATAGTATGTTCCATTGGCTTTTTGAAATTTTACTAAGATGCCTCGAGAGATCTCCCACGCAATGGAAATAACATCGAAATAACTCGTTTTGGTACTTACGTATTATACGGAGGCCACTTATTTTACAGCGCGCTGCGGTGGTTAGGTTAGGTTGGTCTATTATAAATATGTTTGTAGGACTTTCCTACTTTCGTTATGAATCGAACCAGACAAGTCATAAAAGCTTCATGATGACCAAACCTAACCGCCGCAGCGCGTTGTAAAATAAGTGGCCTCCGTATAATACGTAAGTACCCTCGTTTTCACCCTTATCAACTATATATCACGGATTTTGAAGTCACAAAGTGACGCAGTGTGCTAGTTTTCTTTAAATAAATTTATAAATGAAGGCATTAAACCAGTAAAAATATTAGGATTATACCTACATAGTAGACTTGATTGGGAATCTCAAATAAATCAGTTGTGTATAAAACTATCTAGAGTTATTTGTTTACTTAGAAGATTAAAAAATTGTGTTGGTTCCTCAATGTTAGTTGCAGCTTACTACCGGTAGGCCTACACCTTCTTTAGTTATCATTTAATGTAGAAATAACACTTCTTGGGGTAATATTTGAAGAAGGCTATTTGTATATAGATAAAGTTTCTCAAAACAGTTTAAAAAATCTTTATTAATATTAATACATGATCAAGCGTATTGCAAAACATCTTAACACTAAATAAATGAACATTCATAAACTGATTAAAATTCATTAACAAGGACCAGATAAACATGAGAGTAAATATAACTTAAACAATATATAAAACAAAAATGCCTAGCCTACATAAAATGATTATGACTTAAAAGTAGAATTGTTGATAAACAGTAATAATTTATTCAACCTAGTAAATAAATCAAATAAGGTAACCCTATAGCAGTGCCAGATTTACCACATGGCCTAGCGCCGCATGCAAAAGGGGACTGCAGCGGTATCGTACAAAACAATCTTTTAGAACGAAAATTGATTTTTTTTCAAATGCTGAGATTGAGGATGTCAATGCTGCTGCCCTGTGATCATGGAATACGTTCACCATTTTGCCGCAATCATGAGCAAGTTCCACTTATAGGGCAAGGCCACTCAGGTTAATTTGGCCCCTGCCCACAAGTGACCTAAATCCGGCACTAACCCATAGCCATCTAAACCCATTTAACAAATAGAAAGAATAAGAATAAAACTTTCACTGAGAGTCCCAGTAGTCTTTAATTGTTGGCCCAAGTCTTTGGCGTGGTTAGGTTGGAGGACCAGGACTAAACCAAGTTTTGACCGTAGTGTTGGTTTAGAGTGAATGCATAGCGTTGGTCCATAACAAAAGGCACATTGTTGAGCAAATTGACAATCAGTTACTGGAAGATCATGACTTGGTAATAATTAATTAATTATTATTGTAAATTTTGCAAGAAAATCTCAACTCATCATTTTTGTACGATTTTATTTACCATGAATAGCAAAAATATATACCATGTATTACTTCTTATTTTTAAAAGGCTATTAAAATTAGAAATTTGTATATCAAAGGCATAACAGCTCACGATTGACATTTATTGCAGCAAGAAATAAAATTTGACCCCACAGCTTAACACTTTATAAATTACAATTAGTTTTTTTGGATAAATTATAATACGTAAGTATAGAAAATCTATTTAAAATCAACCACTCTGACATTTAACTTAGTAAAACTTAACATATAACAAAGTATAACGCTCCTTTCACATGATATGGCGTACGGTTAAAAACCGAATGGGTAATGTTTATCTTAGTAATGTAAAGAAGGGCATGAGAACTTTCACACTACACGATTACAGCGAAGGCAAAATCCTTTGCAAGGCCTTGCCGACTTGCAGCTGTCCATTGCCACTGGCCAGTCAGTCGTCACGCTGTGGCCATGCATCAGGTGCATGTAGTTAAATACAAGCTTTCATACTGCATTGGTTTTTAACCCAATAAGAGCCCACCAGCCAGCGCAAATAGATCAGCTCTTGTAATGTTTATTGTTTATAATCTGACATGTAAATTGGACGTTGTTTATGTTTATTGTAACGTTGTGAACACATTTAACTCGCTGTACGGTCAGAATAGGAGAAAAAACCTAGAAACGGTGTAAAATTGTACCGTTTTCAACCGGAAGGCAAAAACCATATAGTGTGTAAGGAGCGTAACATTACTGTTAACAACATTACATATATATTTTAACACTAAAATAAAACAACATCACTAAAACAGGTGGTGCAAAAGGCAAATAGGTGGACGAATTTGATCTATTAAACTATACAACATAAGAAATATAAATCAAATTAATTCATTATTCAATGTTTTTTTTTTAAGTCAATAGCCTTTGATCTGGAATGTTTAAAGACGGTTGTGAGATAAAAATACAAGATTTGTTACTCCTCAGTCATCATAATGTATTGGATAATGGATATTGGAAGGTTTTTGGATTTGATAAAGGTTCCGGTTGTGAAATGGTTTCCATTCATTTGAGACTCTTCAAATATTAGACTGAAATTAATAATACAGTGAACCAGTTACTCCGTTGACTGTGGCTAGTGATTGATTTATAATCCTTAAGCAAACATTCAAGCTGTCTTTTAAGCTGTACAATTATGATCGAGTGTGTTTATATCAAGTAAATGCTTCTTCAGTGTACATTTTAAAATGTCCGCCTATACTTAACTTCTACTATACTTAACTCATTGATTAAAATCCCATAGGACAAGTATTAGCTCAAAATATATTGTGCTTTTGTACACAGCAAATGTTCAAAGTGTAAACTAACAAGAAATAAATGGAAGACATAAACAACACATGACAAAATTGTCTACAGCTAAGAATGATAAACCTGTAATGGATTAATATAACAGAAACCGAATATTAAGGCAAAGCTTTGGTTTCTCAATTCAAAATTTGCATTTAAAAAAGAAGAGGTTGGCAGCCTCTTTTTAACTTTGCCTTTGTCTATCTAAATAGGCATCAGGCCTGTACATGGAACGTATCCAGCAAAGCAAGGGTGAATAGTACTGATACTGATAAAAGTAGTGGCAGGTACCAGGATTCGAACCCACGACATTGCTGCCCTAGGTATGGCGCTACAGACTGAGCTACCTACTCACCTTATTTCTAATACTCCTTATATAAAAATAATCTATAAAGTACATAAAATCAGTCTTATCTCAACAAAATGCTTAGGAATATTAAATATTCTTAGATACTTAAGGGCTATAATTACTTTCCGTTCAATGGGTCTTAACAGTCAAAATGCTTTGAATACAAAAAATTGCCAAGACTATTGCACTTAATTACCAAGGCTATTTTAATAAAAAACAGTTTTATAACTAAGAAGGCAATGTACTAAATACTATTAATAGTCCTTGTTTATTTGTATTTAAGTCGCCAACACAATCAGTTTATACTTTTTTAATAAGTTTATTTAATATAACATCCCCCATTTGCCTTAAGACAGTGCTATAGCTACCCCATACAGGATACTTTAGGTAATTCAATTTTTTTTAAATTGTATAATAACAATAACCCAGAGATTGGACTCAACTTTTAGCTCTAAGTAACCATTTAGTAAATACCGATTCACGGTCATGTTTATAATGACGGATGTTTACTGATTTCACCTGTTTTCAGTTTAACAAGCCAATTATCTTCATTTCCAGAAAAAAACCTGAACAAAACAGGAAGAGTCCATTCTCTTTGTTGTCGAACATACTTGGGAAGGCTTAAAAGTTGTTGATTTTTATGTAATAATTAGATTTTTAACAGAACAACATAAAAAATACATAAAGACTAAATAACAATTAATTACAATATTTTATGAACAAAATACTTTTATCCCAAGTATAGTATTAGCTGTTTAAGACGGTGAATATGTCCTGAAAAGTATCCTGGCCTTAAAGTATGTTCTTAATCCTTAGTTGGAGTTGGAGTGCTACCCTCTTTAAAGTTTGCACAACATAAAAAATTACTTAAATCATTAAAAAAATGTAAAGTGATAAATTCAGTTATACTAAGTCATTTAACAACGAATCTTATGTAAATGAGAAGAAGTTTTATAAGGAAATCTTAAAACAAACAGCAAGCGTCAAATGAATTACACGCATTAACAGATGGTGGTTACAAAAAAAAAAAAAACATTTGGTTTATGCAAATAAGTTCATGCATGTCTCTAAAACATTTTTTTTCTTTGGGTGCCACAAGGAAGTTCTGACTCTGCAACAAAAAATAAGTAATTTTTAGAGTAAATTTTTAAGGGTTTTATTTTATTAAGTCCCACCTGGAACTGATTTACACATAACTTCAGGCTAGTCCTAGAGGGTTGCAATGCAATTTTGAGTTCTGCTGATGATTAGGATTGATAGAAAATGTGTACATAGCTCGGCAGATCTGTATTTAGATGACTCAGATACTAAATGTGTCTTGCTAATTTTTACTTATTGAGTAAAAATTTACAAGTGAAAGACATTTACTATACTCATTTAAACAAGGTAGCCAGCCGACTTGAAGACAGGAAATTGTACGAGAATTTTATAGAACGGGAAAAGACAGTGAATTGTACTTGAATTTTGTATAATTTCCATCAATATCTTATTCCCAAACCTCCATTCATTGATGGCGTTCCTTTGGTTCTCTTTGGACGTAAGGAATTACAATCACCGGTGACAACTTTTGCCGTGAACATGGGAGAAGATCATGGGATCGCCAGGACCGCAAGATATAGACATGAGTTTTACCGCAGTCGCAGAAAACGATCACGGTATAGCTGAGAATGCAAGATATGGTTATGAGAGATTCTGTTATCGCAGGAAGCAATCACGGTATTGCTGAGACCGCAAGATATTGTCGCAAATGTTACCGTGATCACGGGAGCTGATAACGGTATCGCTGACATAACAAGATAAGACAACAAGTGCAACTGTGGGGGTCACCATAAATGTGATTTAGGGTGTTTTCTTAGATTAAATTGCTTCTACATTGTGAATATGTTTACCTTAGCTGCTGATGTGCACTAGCTCATGTTCTGGGGGACTTAATTCTTCAAAGGGGATGCCTTTGTACGCTCTGTTATTGTGGCAATACTCCAGCAGGTGGTACCATTGCTTATCATGTCGCAAGATGTTAGGGTTGCCAACAACAATCAGCAAAGCCTTGGCTCTGGTCACAGATACGTTGAACCTCTATGGCAACAAAACATCGTCGAGTAAGTAGATTGTTATTGTTAACAACATAAAAATAGAGAAACAATAAAGTTAGACAAAAATCTAGCTTATAATTACTTTTATACACACCCACACATTTATTGTGTGTGTATTCTCTTAGGAAGGTCAGACGTGCAGGACAGACGTCCACGTACATTGCTCCGCTCTGCTTTTTCTTTTGCCTAGTCTAACCTTTAGCCATTCCAATTGAGTGTTCAATGCAAAGAATGGCAGTTTACGTTTTCAAACTGGTGAAAAACAGCTAGGCCTAGGTTTCCAAATTATTAAAGCATTTTAAATTTTTTTCGATCGACGGAATCATTACAAGATAAGTAGACTAAAGCTGGGTTTTCTTAGGTGCGGAAGCAGAGCCCGCTCTCCTCTTGTCTCAGGTAATTTTATGGAAAATTTTTCCTAGGAGCGGATTACCACTGTCCTATGGGAAAATCTTTTTTTGCACTCCGTTCTTCCGCTTCCACGTCTAGGCTTCCACGAAAACCAGCTTTCCGACCTATTTTTACAAAATATATCATCACACTAGTTTTATTTATAGAATCACCTGTATGAAAGTTGAATGTAAAAAACAATTTAAAATGTGATAAAAACTAATAGACACCTTTGCTAGGCTGAGATTCAAAGTTAAAAATATATTGGGACTAGGAAAGACACCTTCTCAGGGATATACAGAACATATGGATGGTTTTGTGATGCATAAAGGACATACAGGCACATATTTGATAATGTATTCATAGATTATGAACCTTGGGATTTTTTAGAAAGCCCAGTTTGAAGAAGTAGTCCTCGTCGACCAGTTCCATGGTGGATCGTACAGTAGAGATGAAGATGATCAGCTTCTCACTGCCTTGGAACTCCTCTACTGATCCGACCCTGATATCCCATCTCTTCAAGTCCAACGCCTTGCGGAACTTTTGCACCTGCACAGGACGACAAATTTTAATCATTTTGGCAGAACTGTGATTTTATTGGTTTAGTTATAGATTAATATTTTTTTCTTTTTAATGACATTTGTAAAAGTGTTGAATAAGAATAGAGTTAATATTTTCCAGATTTTATATAAAAGAGAATAGGAAAGTAAAATAAAATACCCCCGCCGCAGCAATCCTGCAGCCTAAGCGAATTTCCATTAGCCTGATTTGGTTTTTAATTAATTCTATTTTGATAACATTAGGTTTAATGTGTACCTAAGTTTGCTGCTACAGGGAGGCTAATAAAGTGTGTTTTTAGTAAAATAATAGCTTAGTATAAAATAAACAAATTTACTAAGTCTGATCAAAACTTATACAGAAACAAGCAAACTACAACAGTTTACGATATTCTCCATTAGAATAACATCGGTAATTTAAATTTAACATCTTTTGAATTTTCTTTGCAACCAATAAGCTTACAACAAATCTTTAACATACTAAATTGGTTATCTGATTACAAGATAAGGCATTTACTAGTCATGTTAAACTTAATAATAACATACTAAATTATTTGTTTTTTAAGTTCTTCAAAGTGTTCTAGAGAGAAATTGGGAAATTTTGTGTTTTGAGGGTCAAAAATGAGAAAACCCAATTTTTACCCCATTAAACCCCGTTCCCATGGTCCGATCATTCTGGTTCACGAGCTCAATCAAGTTTATCCCTAATTTGCTAAAATAAAAAATACCCCCGCCGCAGCAAACCTGCAGACTAAGTGAATTTCCATCTACCTGGATGGAATTCCACTCAATTATTCCCTTAAAATTGTCAGATTTATTTCCTTAATCCTATTTAAATATTTTTACCTAACTTTAATGAGTTGCCTACTTAACTTACTACAACAGTTTATTCATTCTCCATAAGAATAACATGGTAATATTAGATTAACACTTTTTTGGGATTTTTCTGTAACCAGTAGGCATACAACAATGTTTCAATATACTAAATTATTTGCTTTTTGAGCTCTACATAGAATAGTTTGTTTGATTTACGAGCACTAATGCCATACCTAGCTAGTTAGTTTAGGCCTATATAAAAAAACTACTTAACTTAGAAATACCTCGCAGCAAACCTGCAGACTAAGCGAATTTCCATTTGCCTGATTGGATTTACACTAAAATGTCTCCTTCAAAATATCAAATTTATTCCCTATGGGAAATTTGCTAAAAAAAATTAAATTAATTACCTGCGTGGAAATTGAGAAATAATTGGGTTTTGTTAGAAATAAAGAGATCAGAAATGGAGTTGTTGAAGGCAGATTAAGAGAGAGTGAGAGAGAGGGCTTGAAAAGTGAGAGAAATGCAAGAATAGAAAATCTCTATAAAAATGGAGTGGTGGTTGAGATAGAGTCAACACTCAAGAGAGACATGGAAGTAGGGGGAAAGTTAAGGTGAAGAGTGATATGGAGAAGAGAGAGTGAAATGACAGTGATGGAAAAGAAGCTGTGTAGAGTCCGGACACAGCAATAACCGGAGTATGTATGGATGTTAATTAATTGTAGAGGCCTACCTGTTTTCTATAAGGTGTGATTATGCCAATGTCATCTTCTTTTACTTTGTATTTCTTTGGCAGCCCATTCCTTAATAGTTTTTCAATGTACATCAAAACCACATCGATTTCTTGCCGGTTGAAGTAACTGGAACAACAGAGAGCTTATTACTTTGATGTCCTTATGATAACACATTTTACTGCAAATAAAAATAAGATAGTAAAATAATTCAAAACCTTTATTTGAACAGTAAAAATTAATTCGCTTAAAATATCATATATTAAAAACATTTGATTTTTCTTGTCCGAGTTCGTTTGGCTCTTCTACGCGACTGATTTTTAGGATTGAGGTCGAAAATTGAAGGTACGCACATTACTTAAAATTTAACCAAATACAGCTAACAGAAACATTTTAAATGCAAAGAATTAGTCAATACTAGGAGGACCTGTGTGATTTCGCACCAAATAAGATTGAACTTTCTTTTTGTATGATTGAGTCCATTCAGTTAGTAAAGTAGCCTAGCTTCTAGTCGATATTTTTAAGTGATAAAAGTGTATATAAGCTGAAATACACTGCTTACAACTTGTCTTTAAAAACAACATTTTTTTTTAATTAATACTATTTTTCATTACAGACGCAGGCCTTGGATGTATAGTTGTACTGATGTATAGTTATTTTAAAACAGTATTCGTTTAGTGGACTCAGAATAGCACTTTTGCAGATGTCACTGTTATTATTGTACAAAGTGTTACTTAAATACATCATCAACCGATGATCCAGTCCAAAAATCATATTAGTAACACAATTGCAGATTATTTGTAGCTATTGGATGGCTGCAAATAATCATGTATCAACGGAAAAGAAGCAAGTATCTCCTGCGATCACAGCAACATCGTATCTATATCGATCGAACGATCACAGCAATGTCGTGGTCCTCTCCTGCGATTTCAGCAAGGTCGTTAAGTCGTTATTATCTCTAGTGATCAGGGATAAATCATGCTCATTTACTGCAAACGAGATTTACGTGACACGACAACATGAAAAATAGCATAGGGCGACTTGTGGCAAACTGTATTGGTCATTATTAACAATTAAAATATCCCGTTCCCATACAAAATGTAGTACAATTCCCAGCTTTTTTTCCTGGTCATATAAAAATGTTTGAATTTCCAACCATTTAAATTTCCATGCAAAAGAAGGCTGTGGCATTTCTCATGTTTAAAAAGAAACAATTAGGTAGGCCTGTAATGGTCACTATCTTTTAAAACACAAAAAAATTCCACCTTAACTTTAAATTCTTTACATATCTTGCATAAAAATATTCCCAGTAACAAACAATTTATATTTTAAAAACAGCTGCATTTTGTTTTAGTAGAAATGCAAATGAAACTGTTGGGCATTCTAAATTTTAAATTATAAATGTAAACAAAGGGTTTTTGCATTTCTTTCAAGTTTTATGGCTTGATTCAAACATCTAAAGCCAATTTGCAAATCTGCACACCTTGACACGTGTTTTGATGAATAATTTTTGGGGGTCTTAAGCAGGGTGTACAGTATGAAATGAATAAATATGCTAAATCTGATCAAAATTTATAATACTTATTTACAATACTTTATAATACAAAATTTATAATAATATAAAATTTGTAATACAAGAAAACTACAAGAATTTATTTATTCCCCTCAAGAATAAGATAGGATTTTAAATTTACAGTTTTTAAAATTTTCTCTGTAACCATTAAACGTACAACGGCGCTTCATAAAACTATTTTTTTACTCTAGAAAATGGTTTGGAAATAAATTGCGAAATTTAATTTTTTAGGATGAAAATGGGAAAACCCCAATTTTTACCACATAAAACCCTGTTCCTATTCTGATTTGGTATGTATATACAGGGTGCGGCAAAAAACCCGATCCATTTTTTTTCAGCGATAAGTTGTCTGAGGGTGGTGGGATTAGTTTTGTTGGAAAGCCTACACAATGTCATTACAGTAGAACCTCTTTAATCAGAACCCCTGTAATCCAAACGTCTACTAATCCGAACGCGTCATTGCTGTACTCTGTACACAGTACAGTAGTTCTTTATTGTATACTGTATTTATTGATATACGCACCGTAATTATTTTAATTGTAATGTACAGTATTGTTTCTTCCCTATGTTTCCTACTGTATTAAATAAACACTGTATTTTACTTTATAAAGCATTTTTCACTTTTCCCTAGCTATTGTTATGTAAAAACAACATGTTCTGTAATCCGAACTATTCAATAGTCCGATATACCTCCGGTCCCAATTAGTTCGGATTAAAGAGGTTCTACTGTATCTGTAGTCATAGAGCTGTTATACAGGGTGTCCTGTACCTATCTGGACAAATGTATATAGAATTATTGCTTAGGTCAATACAAACAAATTTCACCATAGGAACATGGGTCTGTGGTGCCTAGTTTTCCGTCTGTCTGCAGTTGTGTGTTTATAAATAAATAAATAATTCTTTATTGTCACATAACGTTTTAAATCATAGCATAGCTAAAAAAACAGATGACATTGTATAGCTGTTACAACGTAGAATTGTGATAACATTGTTTTCAATTATGACCCAAATTAAGTGTTTTGACTTTGTATTAAAAGCTCGTCTCAAACTTCGAGCTTTTTCAAAACGCCTCGAGCCGAGCCGAATAATGAAAAGCTCGACCAAAAAGCTCGAAGATTCGAGTACTCGCACACCCCTAGTGTACACCAGGCCAACCAGAAAAATTCATGAGTAATTCCAGGTAGTTCAAGTCTTACTTTTCATACTATGACGTTGCGTCATAATGATTGGTTCATAAATTATTATAACTATACAGGGTGTTTACTGATATCGTATAAAAGGTTGTGGACTTGCACGTAAATTAATTTTATACTTTAGTTTAAAATTACTCAATTAATCATTGAATGAATAATACACTTTTACTGAATACATGTCATTGAATCAGGAAAATACAATTATGTTTTTAAAAAAATTGTTTAAACAAATCTGAGATCTTGGTAATGTTTGCAAACTAAAAGGTTTGCAGGTTATCAGGTTTGCAGTTTCATTCAAGTTATTTAATAAAATGACTGCTCTTTTCAAAGATTTATGATTATCTTTTATGTATCAGTAATTTGTTTAAAAAATAAATTTGGAGGAACAACTGGCTATTATACGAGTCGGGATGCCTTCATACGTCAATAATAATAATATAAAACGTAAATGTTTTTGTTTGAAAGTGATTGTAATATAGGTGCCGTAGATTAAATATTGAACATTAGTAATAGACTAAGTGATATTAGAATATTTCATTACAGTACTTACTTACTGTGTAGAGGAGTGGAATTTATAAATAAGATGGCAGTAGGCACCCTAGTTAGTGTTAATAGTTCACGCTCTTTTCAATACCTTGGCATGTAGCTACACTTTATTACACTGTGTTTTACTCAGACTGTTGAGGGTGCCCTCTACCTCAGCTCGGATTTCTCAATACGAGGTTGCTGAACGCCAATGTCCCTATACCATTGCATTGAGCCACAGATAAAATAAACCCTATCTGTGATTGAACAGCGCCATGAAGAGCGCTTGCAAACCATTCGAATCTGGGTAATTACATCATTATCCTTAAAGTTTTTGATAAACTAACTGCAGATTCTTGTTTTTAAGAATCTATTGCACTTCCTCCGTTCGTTATTTTTCCTCTAAAAAATACTTGTATGTGTTAAAGTTAAAACCTATGATAAAAAACGTGTATTTTAACATTTTTCCCAACTTACGAGCCAAACATTTTTTTAAATATAAAAATTTTAAAAAGCAGCAAACCTACAATAATATTCAACAAAAAATATGACACCAAGATCTTTTAAATCGGTTCACAATTGGGGCAACCGCAATTTGCGCACGCCAGATGGGTAGAGTGCAGCTCTAAGCATGAGAGATCTTAGGTGTAAGAAAACAGGTTATAATTTAAAAAAATATTTTGTTGTAATACAACGTTTTATATATTCAACTATAGAATTGTTCTTTTACCTCAGCAAATTGAAGCAATTTATTGTAAACCCAGATATGAAAAATATTAAGAAATTAGCAGATGAAAAGGCCTTTAACAACTACTGTTAAATCATAAACATAATAATATAAACATATAATTTAAACCTTTAAAATTAAATTTGGATACTTAAATAAAATGACCTATATTCTTTGTATACAATTTTTATTTTGCAATTATTCAGCTGAAATAAAAGGGATCAAAGTGCTAAAATAAATATAAAACAATTACGTACTAAAATTCAATTGCAATATAAATTTATATGAATATGTTAAGCTATTAAATATATTTTGATTTAGTAATTAATTAATTAAAATGTCCCAACAGAAACATTTACGATGTTTTGCATGTTTTCGACAATCAGTAGTAAAAAAATTAGAAAAATAAATATCATGTTGAGGGTAACGAAATTGTTTGGAATTGAATGGCGAATCCGAATATAACATTCTTTTTGCTAACAAAAAACAATAACGAGCAAACGAGCAAATGAGATAATGAGGTAACGGAAACATTATAATTGTCTCCCACAATCTCAAAAAAGTTATCATCATCTTCCTTGTTTGTGTAGCTTAATTCTAATAATTTTCCGCAGTCATCATCCTCAAGCAATAGTTTTTGGACATCATCATGGTTTCCCGCGGTCATAGAAACGTTATTGTCCACATGCATGATAGCCGCAAAATCACTAACATATCCCGCAGCCATTTGGACATCATCATCGTCTCCCTTGGTCACGAAAACGTCATCGTCGTCATGCATGATCGCGGCAAAATAATTAAAAAATCTCGCGGCCGTTTGGAGTTTGGACATCATCATCGTCTCCCACAGTCATGGAACGTCATCATCGTCTCCCTTGGTCACGGAAATGCCATTATAGTCATGCGCGATCGCGGCAAAATCATTAAAAAATCCCACAGCTGTTTGAAGTTTGGACATCATCATTGTCTCCCGCGGTCACAGAAATGTCATCGTCGTCTCCCACGGTCATGGGAACGTCATCTTTAAGCACGATTGCAGAATATTTGAAATTCCCGGATCAAAAAAATCACAGATAATTCCCGGTTTTCCCGATCGGTACACGCCCTGTTAAGACAAAAAAGACTTATCGAGAACAAACTTCCATGTAGCGTATTAAATATGTAGATTAGAACTAAATATTTATATGTCAACAATTATGAACAATTACCTTGTTCGTTAGAACAGAGCCCATCTATAGATTTTATATTTTAAGATTCAACGTACGAAGTGTTTATTTTCACTATGATAATTTGGCAAAATATTTTAACTGATACATTGACTAACATACCTCGGGGAGTTGCTCTCACGCTCATCTTGACCTTGAACTCCGTGGAAGATGAGAGGGAAGTCTGGATTGGGGAGTTCACTCCAGCCTACAGCACTGTTGATGATGTCCGGGTTGCCTTTCACCTAGCAACACAAATCAACTTAACCCTTCAACTGGCAGCGCGACTATAGTAGTCACGGTATATGGTTTCGATGGAATAATTTTTAAACCGTTTGAAAGATAAGATTCTAAACTTACATTTTGTTACATAGATGAACTTAGATGAACTAACAAAAAAAGATATCATTGTAATTGAGTACTAAAGTAAGTAAACAAAAATTTCAAGCAAAGTCAGTTGCACCATGGACACGTCACAAAACTGCCAAACACGATATGTTTCAATACCCCCGCCGCAGCAAACCTGCAAACTAAGCGAATTTCCATTTGCCTGATGGGATTTACACTAAAATGTCTCCACAAAAAATATCACATTTATTCCCTATTTAAATAGAATCAGTTTAACACATACTTAGGTTTGCTGCAACAGGGAGGGTAAAAGTGTTTTTTTTATGTAAAATGTTAATAGTTAGTAAGAAATAAAAACATTTTCCAAATTTGGGCAAAAAATGTTAATAAACAAGCAAACTACAACAGTTTACTTATTCTCCATAAGAATAACATGGGAATTTTAAATTTAAATTTTTTTGGAATTTTCTCCGTAACCATTAGGTGCATTATAACGCTTCAATATACTAAATTATTTTTTTTTTAAGCTCTACAAAATAGTTTGGAAAGAAATTGCAAAATTTTATGTTTTTTTTTTTAGTCAAAAGTGGGAAAAACCCATTTTTACCCCATAAAACCCCCCATAAGCCCCCGTTCCCATGGTCCGATCATGCTGGTTCGTGAACTCGTTCGAATAAACATAGGTTTACACGTTTGTACCAAATTTCATCAAAATCGGATAGTTTTTGCACGAGTTATCGCGCTAACGGACACATATATAAATATATATATATATATGAATTTGAACGGATGGTGTTTTTGGCCTCTAGGGACCTCAAAACGAAAAAAAAATCGGTCCCAGGTCCAGGTCTTACCATGAGTACTACGGTAATAGCTTATTTCCTATATGGGAAATTTGCTAAAAAATCATAGCAAGGGATATTTTTTGTCTAAAAAAAACCGGGTGGTACCACTGCAATAAGGAAGACATTTCCAAATATTATGGTGCAAAAATAACATTGATATAATCATAATGACATATGATCTCACAACAACAAAAGCAAATCAACCTATTTTTATGTGTTCGTGCACAAATTAAGAGGCGGCAGGAGTCAACCACCACGCTACTGGCAGGGCCTGCTATTTAACATGGGACTAATTTACTTTTCACTTAACTGCAATTAAACGATTGCGTATTTGGCATGGATCAAAAAGTAGTATTAAAAAGCATAACTTAACCTACGTGTAGCATGCAAAAACATTTAAAAAAAATTTTTTTTTAATTTGTTTTTGTTGAAATAAAAAATATTATTTTCCATAAGGATTTGACAGAACTAGTTCAATGTTACAGTAGGTAAACGTTATCGTAAAATTGTGAAATTTGGCTTACAAGTAACCTTATATATTCAGTCTTAAAACTACTTTTTAGTTTTCTTGAAAAGTGAATTGGTTTCAATGTTTTTCGTTGTTTTAAAATAACTCTACAACTGCAACCCCCTCACGCGCAGCGCGGGGCGGCGTAACAGTTCAGCGTTCTCCACACAGATAGCACTAGCGTCGATGTGAAAGAAAAGGCGCGCAAAATACAAATTTTAGTATAAACCCACACTTAGCAAAGTCTACATCGGAAGATCAACAATTTTGGCAGTGTCAGTATTATTGAGTTGTTTCTATCAAACCGTGATGGGTCATCTGAAGAAGTTCCCGTCGAGGACGAAAAAGCGGAAGCTGCCTTCCTATTTAAAAAAATACTTTGATGATAAGAAGTAAGTATGCATAATATTTAGTCTTGATTTTAGAATATGCCTGGATACTATATAGGAGACTTATTGTGGTATTAGTACTGTAATTCAAAAAAATAATTATGTGCAATTCAATTAACTTCACTGTGACTTAAGAGGGACTTTTAAATGAGGCCTACAATAATTTGTAGTAGGTATTTACTGTCCAAACTTAAAAAAACATATATTTTTTGTCAGTTTGACGTTTGACGCATTAGCATTGTACCATCATATCTCTTGTATTTTCAGGAAAGAACCAAGTCACGATGGGGAGAAAGACGCAACAGAAACTTCTCACGTCTCAATGCTGTGTGGTCGTAGAATAGTGACAATTAAAGATATTTTCGATCAAGTGAAAGAATTAGATAATCATAGTCCTACAGGTTGTAGTTTCAAAGATTTGACATTTTTGCGGGAAAAGAGAGTTGGACTGAAGAGTGGTTTTGTATTTAAATGTTCCATGTGCAACATAACAAAGGTTATTTGGTCAGAAACAAAGAAAAATGATTTGATGGATGTAAATACAAGTGCTGTTAGTGGAACTATGGCAACAGGTGGGGGCCATGCTCAATTAGAGGAAGTTTTTTCCACAATGGACATTCCCCCGATGAGCAACAAAACCTTTAAGAAAATAGAGGACAAGGTAAATATAAATTATTTTAGGGAAACATTTACTGTATGTCCACTTATTTGCTTTGGATATAACGTAAGTTAAAAAGTTTAACCAATCCTTTATCCATTAATCATATAATTCATTTCACGGCTGTTTGTTTATCACTATTATTAACTTTATTTGATGTAAAATTATTATTATTATTCAAGATTTGCCATTTGCTACAATAACGTCGTATATTGGAGACCGTTACTAAGTTGTAGTTATTATTTTTTTTTTATATATATATGTACAATAGTTAATATTTAATTATATAACTACCTTTTAGGTAATCTCGGAGTTGGTAGCTACAGCTGAGTGTGAAATGAAAGAAGCAGCACAGGAAGAAGCAAGACACGCAGTAGAAAATGGAGAGGTTGACGAAGATGGCACGCCGCTTCTCACTGTCGTTGCTGATGGCAGCTGGTGCAAAAGGTCCTACAGATCTAATTACTCGTCACTGTCAGGAGTGGTAAGTAGGTTTGACCCCCCGTCTGGGCAAACAAATGTTGTGCTAGTTTTTTTAGAATTTTTTTACGAAATATTTAATCAATTTACTCAACTAATAATTACCGTAAGCTTTTCATACAAAATCTTTTATTATTTTGTGTTAAATTAAACGGTTGGTTGGATATCAGTTTTGTTATGGTTAGTTAGCCATCAGCAGGGACGTAACTAGGGGGGGGGGGGGGGGGGTGAATGATAAATGCTATATAACTGTTATTTTACTGTTTACGAATCATAACGGTACGTATGAACTTGTACGGTGCGAGAATGAGGATAAGCATACTGCGTTATCTGTCTGTCGTCGATGAGTCACTAGGACGGCGCCGGCGCGGCGTCAAAACACTTACACACCCCTCCCGAAACCCACCTGCCCCTCCACACACCATCCCTCACACCAGTCACCACGCACACACACACACACACATACTACAAACACAACACTAGCAATACTAGTAATATTATTAGTTACTAGCAATATTATTTTCGTGAATCATTTCGTTTTCAAATAAAATATTGTCTTTGAAAATACGAACCATATTGCATTCAATTATTTACCACCTATACAGTATCTAGGCCTTAATACTTTGAACTTGGGGTTAAGCATTTTAAGATCTAAATACTGTTGTATTAATGTATTGCACCGATGGACACACCACACATTTTTTAAGAAGATTTGTAAGGAATTGGGTTCAGTCCAATTGAAGGGGGGGCGCCAAAATAGGTGTTTGCCCCGGGTACTGAATAGCCTAGTTACGTCCCTGGCCATCAGTATTTTTGGATGGTTGGGCCATTGTTGGAGAATGGTTGGTTGGAAAACAGTTCAAAGTGATGGCATTTTTACCGTTGGCCAACTGTGTGGCTCCACAATTTACCAACGTTGGCCCAACCATCTGTGCTACATGGGCTTGCGAATAATCACCTTTCACTCCATCACATCAAATTGGGTGTGACAGGTTTATTGCTACGAGGGTATTTATCTGTTCTCAAAAGAAAATAATTCTCTATTATAAAAAATTGGCAACTAACGCGTGTATGTAATGTGTACTACTAAGGTTTTTGGGTTTTTATTTACAGGCGGCTATTGTCGGCCACAATACAAAAAAGGTGCTGTACATGGGAGTGAAGAATAAATATTGCACTCCATGCTCCCGAGCTGCATCTTTAGGAAAGGAGCCAACAGAGCATACCTGCTACAAAAACTGGGAGTCAACCCAGAGCTCTTCTAGCATGGAACCTGCCATCATCGCAGACGGCTTTCAACGTAGTGAAGAGATGTATGGAGTGAGATACGCTCGTCTTATCGCAGACGGCGACAGTAGCGTATACAAAAGGATTAGAGAGAGCAGACCATATAAAAGTATTACTGTTGAAAAAATAGAATGTAAGAACCATTTGCTGCGAAACTTCTCCAACAAGCTAAGGCAAATTGCAGTTACATCGAACAAAAACAAAAACAGTATCCTTATGAGGAAAAAATTGGGTGAAAACGTTTTCCGTTGTAGAATGGCTGTCCAAAAAGCCCAGGAATACAGGAAGAAACAAGATTTGCCAAACGTAGAAAAGATTAAACAGCTGAGGCTGGATATTTTGAATGTACCCAGTCATGTATTTGGACAGCATGAGCATTGTAGAGAAAGGGGATACTTTTGTACAAAGGAAGCGCAAGATGTAAATAGTGAAGGAAATTTTGTTCCACAGTTAGTGTCCGCTGGATTGTATAATTTAATCTGTGATGTTATTCGTGACCTGAGCCGCCATTCACGGAGTTTGATCACGGATGTAACCTCTAATGCAGTTGAGCACTACAATTCGATCGTGGCTAAGTACATAGGAGGAAAACGGGTGAACTTCGCCATGAGAGGATCGTACCAAGGACGGTGTTCAGCGGCAGTTCTTCAACATAATACAGGAAACACCCACTACGTACTCCACAAGCACATGTACAAAGCTAGCCCTGGATATTATACCAAAAGTACAG